TCACAAAGGGACGTGGGCACGTTCATTGCCACACCACGTGCTGCAGAATCAACACTGCAACAGGAGTTCACATCCGCTCAGCCACACACTAGCACCGGAGCCAAGGGACGGAAACCCGGGACATCCAGCCCTGCCAACTCTCCAGGTGACCCTGGACTCCAAGACACAGACAGCAGAAGCGCTGGAGCTGTTAGTGACAAGGTGGGACACAAGGGAACCCCTTACCCAGAAAACGGCATCCACCCGAGCTCCTGGCAGGCGGAAGGCACATGTTCTAATGAAACACAAGTCCATGTCCTTCAAATGAAGACAGGACGTCCATGGTCACGGCAGCAGCACGGCTGGATGAGAACTCGGGACGAAGCAGAAATGAAGATACCGAGCGGGAAACGACGAAAACCGCCAGGTCCCAGGTGACACACGGGACCCTCGGCCCCAAAATGCCGAGAGCCGGCAAGAACGCTCAACACGGGTGAGACGCAGAGCGAGCCACGCACACCACCGGCCCTCTGCGCGCAGAACAAGCACAGAAGAGATGCCTGAAGAAGTGCATGGCAGATCCTCGCGGGCAGCCAGCAGAGAGCAGAAGACGCCCACACCTGCCACTGCTCCCCCAGCCCGTGGTCCCCACTCACACCCCAGTCTCCAGGGAACTCCTCTGGCAGGTCGAGCTGCAGGACGGGACGCCGAGTCTGCAGAACTCGTGAGTGACGGCAGCCGGGTTACAGCTGCGAGGAAAACGGGGACTCGCGCTCAGGAAGACACGTGGGAGCTGCACCTCCCACGAGCCTCGCAGACTGAGGGTTTAATCACAGCAAACACGGAGCAAACACAGAGGAATGACGTTGCGCAACAGCCCGAGTCCTCCAGCCAGGCGTCAGGAAGGGGAAACCAGCTCCTTCCCCAGCAAAGACCCCCGCACGCTGAAACCCAGACGAGGAAATGCCCTGGGAGCAGCCACTGGCGACACTCTGCAGCCAGGTGAGAGCCAGACAGCAGCACAGGAGCTGTAACCTGGGACCTACCAGACTGCAGAAGAGCAGAATGGAACCCACAGAGTGCCTGTGCCACTGGGGACTCTCCTGGGTCACAGGCAGCCTGTGTTGTGGGCCGCCACTGGGGACACGGACATCCCGTATCTGAGCGCTGGTTCGAGTCCCGCCTGCTCCACTTCCCATCCAGGTCCCTCCTAATGTACCTGGGAAGGCAGTGGAAGATGGCCCAAGTACTGCCATCTACATGGGAGACCTGCATGGAGTCCCAGCCTCCTGGCTTCAGTCTGGCCCAGCCCCGGCCATTGTGACCTTTGGGGAATGAACCAGCCAATGGAAGCTCTGTCTCTCTCTGAGCCCCCCACGCCCCTCACCTTTCTTTCTTTTCATCACTCTTTGAAATAAGTAAATATTAAAATACGGAAACCTGGAAGCAGCCAGCCTAAGCACACCTCCCCTAGTCCCCAGCCCTCGGCTCGCGGGGGAGCACCCGTGGCACTGCCCCACTGTCCCACACACGCCCCTCCACGTGACCCCCCAGCCCGTGACTCTAGGCTGTAGAACGAGCGTGAGAGTCATCGGCTCCTTCCATCCAGGCCACAGGCTCGCACCTGACCTGCACCCGGCTGCCCGGTCTCTCACCCCTTCCCACTGGGCTGCAGAGCCCCCGCGCGGGCACCACCGGCAGCCACCTGGCTGCGCTTTTCTGTTGCTATCACGGACAGCTGAGGCAGCCCGCGGTGCTGGAGGCTGAGCACTTGGCATGTGGCGAGGGCCTCCTGCTGCCTGCTCACGCGGCGGAAGGGGGAGGCTGCCCTCGGCCCTCTTCCTCTGCACAGAGCCACCCACGCCTCCACCTCCCGAGGCCCCGCCACCGGACGCCATCAACACAGACAGAAGAGTTAACTTCCTGACACTGGAAATTTGCGGGAGACAAATCCAAACTACACACGCAATGTGCTGGGTGCCCCCGGGCCCCCACCTCCCTCCTGGCCACCGGGGCCACAGTCCCACGGCCACTCTACTCACGCAGGGTCTCCGACGCCGTCCTCCCCGAGGCCTTGGGCTGCTCCTGGTCCTCCGCCTGGGGTACTCCGTGCCGGCCCCCGAGGGCCTCCCCCTCCAGCCTCCTCAGAGAAGCGAGGCTCCCAGCCCCCGCCCTGCGCCGGCCGCCCCCACTGTGCCACAGCCCTGAGCCCGCTTCTCCTCAGGTCTGCGCACCCCTCCGTCAGGGCTGTCCCTTGCTGTTGGTCGGCAGGCCACAGGACTGGTGCCGACAAAGGCGGGGCACAACGGCCCTGCAGGACGGGTAGCCCCAAAAGCCACAGCCCCAGAGGGGGCTCGGAGCTGCTGGCAGGGGCGGGGGAGACCTTGGTGACGCTCAGCCTCCCCTGCCTTGACCTGCCCTCCTGTAGAGGGTCCCACACAGGCACAGAGCACATGGCTCTCGCCCGCACTCGGCCCAGGATGGGAGAGTGAGGACTGATCGGGGAAGCAGGGCGAGGGCAGGAGGGAGGTAACGCTGCCACTGACGGTGACGACCGAGTGTCCCCCTGATTCATCTCTTACAGCGGGGACCCCAGGGAGGGCCGCCAGTTGGCACAGGAGAAGTGAGAGGCGGGGTTTCTCTCCACTCCACAGACTTCCCAGCCGGGAGCTCTTAAAGAGGGACCGTGGATTACTTATGGAGCAGCAGTAGGGACAAGATGGCTGCGGGCGCAGGGGCCCTGCGTGCCCCTCTCCCTCCCCAGCCCCCACCCCACCTCGGCAGGCTGGGTGCCTGAGGCTCGCCCTCCCCCTCCAGGGATCTCGAGGAACCCCCGCTCCACACCTAAACACAGCGAGGCCACTAGTGCTGCAGGCGGGGCCGTGTGGATGCCGACGCAGACCCTGCTCACTGCTGGACCTGCGCCTCTGCTTTCCCTCCTTCTTCCACGTCTCACATTATGGGATGCAAAACAAGAAAAACACCAGATAAATCCGCGTCCTCTGGGAAACGCATGGCTGCCCGTGCAGCCAGCACCAAGGGCAACCACGGGAGCCATCCGAGCGGCAAGGCTGGCGAGTGATGCGGACGGGGCCAGGACCCCTCCTCACTGCAGGAATCTGGGCGAGTGCAGTTACCCGCCACCAAGGCCAGCCAGGCGGCCCCGGCACCCCCCGCACTCCAGCACCCCCCGAGGGGCTGTCCCTTTCAGGGACAATCCCACAGTCCCATCTGTCATTCTCCTTATCGCTCGGTGTGCCGGATGAGAAACCACGGGGGCCCCGGTTGTGGGGACAGAGCTGCAAGCGCGTCAACAAGGAAGGCCCGGCCTCAGCTCAGGAGAGGAGGACATCACAAGGACAGCGGCATCGGAGGGGCCACGGGAACGGGCAGCAGACAGTGACCAACTTACCATGCTGTTCCTGAGTTTAGCTGTGGGAGACGGCAGAGACTGCTGGTGCCCGCCCAGTGTGGATCCCTCTTGGCCCCTGCTCAGACCTCGGCCATGGCCTGCCGAGCCCCCACCACTGCTCCAGGCCAGCCCAGTTCTGCAAGCCGGAGGCTGCGTAGAGTGAGAGGACCTGGCCCCTGCTGCTGGCCCTCCAGCTCCAGAGCAGCACGTGTGTCTGGGGGTGTGGGGCAGGCAGGTGGGAGACCCCTAAGGGCCCGTAAACTCAGAGAGGGAGGCACGGGTGCTGCTGCCCACCTCACAAGGCAGAGGGTTCTCACTCCGGGGTGGCCTCCCTGTGCCGGCCACTGCCCTGTACCTGGGCCCGCTGCAGGCCATGTGGTGACACGGGCCTCAGAGACTCTGCCTTCGGAACGCAGAACCTGCTGGTCAGACCGGCAGAGCCACTTGTGGCCCTCCAGAGTCTCGGGGTGGCCGAGTAGCACACACTGCCCTCAGGCTGGCCTGCAGGCCCTGGCCGTGCTGCTGGACGGCTAGCCCCAAGGCGCCTATCTTCCCTGCTGGGTGCTACAGCGTGGGTGCCACCACCCCGATCCCCCCGGTGGGAACTCAGTCCCAGGATCCACCTCTCGTGGAGTTTGGGGACACGGCATCTGGGAAGTGATGACGGTTAGAAGATGGCATGAGGCTGGGGCCCCACAATGGCACCGGTGGCTGTGCAAGAGGAGTTAGAGACCGGGGCCAGTGCACCTGCTCTGTGTCACTGGATGCCTGGCAGATTCCATGAGCCTTAGATCTCTGTTCCTTACAAGTCACCCCTTGCCGAGTACTTTGTGAGAGTAACAGGCAGGGACCAAGAAACCAGATGTCTCTCTCCCACCACCAGCCCCAGAGCCCAGCGCGACAGGGACCCCGACTGCTGCTCGGCTCCCATGTCCTGATGGTGGCCACCCCATTCCACCCATCTGGGACGGGGAAGGCAGCGCCGTGAGCGACAGATGCTGCCTCATGGTGCTGCGAGCCCCAGTTCCTTCCTTGTGCAAGGAGGCAAGGGTGCAAGGACCCTGCTGCCTGGGTCAGGGTTCTGAGTGCACGCTCGTTGGGGAGGGAGGCATCCAGCATCCACGCGGTGGCCCCAGAGGTGCCGCCCCAGCCAGGAGTGTGCTCTCCCCGCTGCACTAAGGGCTGCCAACCCGCCGGGACCAGCCCACTGCCACGCCCGGGGCCCCGGGCTGTGTGTCGAGGACGGCAGACACAGAGCAGATCTACGGCTAAGTGAAGGGAATGGCCGTGATGTGACAAACGGCTCCGAGAAACCAGCGTGCGAGGCTGCAATGCCACGCTGCTTGCTTCCCTCTGCTCGCACCTGGCTCCAGCAACCTGCGTAGAGAACAGAAAGACTCACACGGCCTCCCCTCTGCCCCAAAAGGACTCTCAGCTGGGAGCTACTCTCCGGCAAGGGAGAGCCGTGCCCTCTGCGCGGCCAGGGAGGTGACCTCACTCCTGTGGCCCCGGCGGCCGGCCGGGGGCTTGGTTTTCGCCGCCTTCACAGTCACCCTGGCACTTGTCTACCCCCCGCCCCACTTCCTCGCCACAGGCAGCCAACACTTACTCCTGCGTCCTCTCATGCGCTCCATGCTGGCCTCGTCAGCTACACGGCCGTCTCCGCTGGGGTCTCTGAGCTGGTTCCCGCAGGTCTGCCGATGAAGGGAGGAGCGGAGGCAACCCTTACCCACTGGCCAACGCCCAGGAATGAGGTTGTGCAAGGAGATATGTCTTCCCACTGTTGGGTGGGGGCTGCACGCACAAGTCTGCACACGTTCCAGATCAGCTCATTCCCAGGGCCTGAGAGGCCCCCAGGCTGCTGACCTCTGCAGGAGTCCAAGCTCCTTGCACGTCACCTGCCCACAAGTGGCTACCCCCACCCCACCTCCCAGGGAGAGGGCTCTGCCCTGCAGGCCACGGTGGGAAAAGGAGGGTCCTGCCCACTGGGGAGAGCAGAAAGCCTCCAGGGACCCCTGGTGACTCAGCAAAGTCCCCTCTAAAACACATTCCCTTCCTCGCGGGGCAGGAGCCAGTGAGGCTGCGCTGGGTCCGCCCTCGCAAAGTGAGTTCCAGCCGGAGTTTGGCCATCAAGGCCCACTCTGGCAGCCCCTCACGGGCTCTCTTCCCCCCTGCAGCCCGAGCCATTAACACAGTCACAACAGACATGTTGCAGACCCTCTCCCCTAGAGACCCCCGAGTCACTCCTATCCTCTCAGGACCCTGATTCCCCGACCGTGGCCACATGCATGCTGAGGGAGGGGCAGGGGACCCCAGGGCTGCTGAGGAGGAGCCAGGGGTCACTTCCCTTGCCCTCCCCTTCACCACTTCTGACACCTCGGTGTGGCCCTGCATGACAGGGAAAAAGGGGTGCATTCCACACCAGCCTGTCCTGGCCCAAGGCCAGCTCATGGGCAGCTGTGTGCACCCTGCAGCCATGAGCTCTGAACTCCAAGCACCACACAGAGGGTCTCTGCATTTCAACACTGTTGGGCCTCATCAGGCCTTCTCTAAACAAACAAACAAACAAACAAACAAAAAACAAAAAAACAAAAGCAAATTTGTTTAAAAAAAAGGACTTATTTATTTATTTACTTGAAAGTTGAAGTTACAGAGAGAGAGGAAGAGACAGCGAGAGACAACTTCCATCTGCCGGCACACTCCCCAAACGTCTACAACAGCCAGGGCAGAAGCAGGGGCGGCCAAAGCCAGGATCTTCACCCGGGTCTCCCTTGTGGGTGCAGGGGCCCAAGCACTTGGACATCTGATCAGGGCACCCACAGCGGGAGTGGGAGGTGGAGGGAGAGGGAGAGGGAGCAGGGAGGCTCCTGGTCTCCCTGAAACCCCCTCCCTCCTTACCAGCTCACCTAAACCCTCTGTGTCTTCTGTGTCACACAGAAAGGGCCACCTCTTCTGGTCGCCCTGCTCGCCGTGGACTCCTGTCCTCCTGGGTGGCACCGAGAGTGGCTGCTTCACGAGAAGCCTTGTGGTGCTTCTTTGGGCTGCTGTCACAGACACACGGGGCCAGGGGAGCAGAGAGCCAAGGCCTCCTGCACTGTGGGCCCCGCTGAGCCGCACAGGGCGCCCCCGACGCCCCCAGTGCTGGGCCAGGCCTGGGCCTCTGCCCCCGGACTCCCAGTGAGTCTAGCAACTCCCACCTCCTCGGGCCAATGCCCGTGGAGATGGCGGACAGCTGCTGGCACTGCCACGTCCAGGCCTCGTCCATGTTTGAGTCCATAAAAGGACAGAAGTGTGCAGGGGCCCAGAGGCTTGGAGAGCTCCTTGCTCGGTATGAGAGGCCCCTTGGGGTCTGTCGGAGGCCTAAGCTGCTGAGCCTGCAGTTGGCATGATGATGCCGGGCACGGCTCCATCCTCCCGGCAACAGGTGTGCAGGGTGGGCCTCCGCCCCGCCCCCGGCCGCAGGCCTCTGCCTAAAGTGGCCCCTCACCTGGAGCCCATCAAAGGCTGACTCACAGCCCAGGGGCAGGACCCCGCCAGGACTGGTGGAGCCAAAATTATCTCCCAGATCACCTGTCCTCCCCTCCGTCCCTGCAGGGGCGCACTGGAATTTTCTGGAGGCCACAGGACATGTTACTGAAGGCGGGCAGACAGGAAAAGCTGGCTGCCGTCTATGAGGACGGACGTCAAAGGGGTGGACAAGATGGCCAGGATGTCACTTCTCATCTGGTTGTGAAAACAAGCTTTGTTTCCACAAAAGATGTTACGTTAAAGGAGCTTATTACGTTCTTTGTAGTGAATACATATTTTTAAATTTTTAAGCAGTGAATACATCTTTTTAAATTCCTGCCTTGACTTCTAAAATGGTAGATAAACATCAGAGGGCAGGGGCTCTCCACACCCGCAGCGCTCCGGTGTCTCCAGCTGCTCTGAAGGGCGGCCGGGGCCCTGGGAGCACGCAGGGTGGGAACCGCTGCCTCAGACACAGAGGGCCCCCAGAGCCAGGTAGGGGTCCCCAGAACCCAGCCTGCCTCCCACGAGGGGCACCAGGAGGAAGCCAGGCCACACCGCGACGGAATCACCGCCCAGCGCCTGCTGCACAGACCCTGTGCAGGCCTCCTCCACTGAGAGGACTTTCTTAAAACAATACCGAGTTTCAGACCTTGAGACTTGGCCGCACGAACGCACAGCACTGGCCAGAACCACGTGGCAGCTCAGCTGCTGCACACCACCCTGCGGAGCCGGGCGGGCTCAGCTGCTGCACACCGCCCCGCAGAGCCGGGCAGGCTCAGCCTGCTGCACACTGCCCCGTGGAGCTGGGCGGGGCGCGGCAGGCCAGGCATTCCATTCCACTCCATTCCATTCCTCAGGGCCGGCTCCGAGCAGGGGTCCGGCAGGGTCAGTGCTTTGAAGTGGCTTGCGCTGCTCGCGGGTTCTGGCAGGACTCGGCTCTGAGCCACTGAACGAGTTCTCCCTGCCTCCTGAAGCCCCACGTGTGGGGAGAGGCAGAAGGAAAGCGGCATGTGGCCAGCAGCTCCAGTTTTCAAGCAAAACCCTAGCCCTGACCAGAGCTTCTCCAGCCTCCCTGTCCCTGTGTGAAAACAGGGTCAGAGCTCAGCAGCCCAGCAGCGCACACAACCAGATCTCCCCAACCACAAAGAGGCCGACACCAACCCCAGCTGTCTGTGTCCCTCCATCTGAACTGTCCGATGAAGGGACAGAGCCTGCAGCTCGGGGGAGGGGGCCACGTGGTGGGGCCCGAGCGCCCTGCACCCCAACAGATCACTTCCCCCAGCTTAGCGAGAGGACAGCGTGAGGACAACTCCGCTATGTGGCACCTGGACGGGCCTGTCAGCTCCTAGCAGGAGCAGTCACCACAAAGACTGAGATGGAGGGCCCCTCTCTGCCTGCTGCTGAGGCCAGAGAGACCAAGTGACGCTGGGAGGGGCTGCAGATCCCTTGGGGGGGCCCCATTCACTACAGCGCCAACTCCACGGCCCCAGTCCCTCCGACAAGTGGAAAATGAGGAAACTTGTGACAATCACACCACCAAAGCCCTATGATGCAGCACTCAGAGACCACCAAAGCTACACAACAGCCACTATGAAACCTACACAACAGCCACCATCAAACCTACACAACAGCCGCCCCTCAAACCTACACAACAGGCACCCCCCAAACCTACACAACAGCCACTATGAAACCTACACAACAGCCACCATCAAACCTACACAACAACCGCCCCCCAAACCTACACAACAGCCACCAAACCTACACAACAGCCGCCCCCCAAACCTACACAACAGCCACCATCAAACCTACACAACAGCCACCCCCCAAACCTACACAGCAGCCACCCCCAAACCTACACAACAGCCGCCCCCAAACCTACACAACAGCCACCCCCCAAACCTACACAGCAGCCGCCCCCAAACCTACACAACAGCCACCATCAAACCTACAACAGCCACCATCAAACCTACACAACAGCCACTCAAAGCTCCACAACAATCGTGTATCAAAACTACAACAGCCACTCATCAAAACTACGCAACACCCATCCAGCAACACGACATCATCCCATCTGGAAACTGGTGAAGGGACACTGCATTACACACAGGACAAACATCCGTACCTGTGCTGCCAAACTTCCCAGCCCCCTTGTGGTTCCGGATCCCTGAATCCAAGAATTCCAGGACTGTGAAGGAACAGAAGCTGCACTGTGGCAGGTGAAACCTCACAGCTAATGTCTCACAGAACAATGAGACGCTGCACACTTTCCCCTAAGACGGGAACAAGACAGGATCTTCGCTTTTGCCAGTTCTATTCAACATGGTTTTGGAAGTTCTAGGCAGAGCAATTAAAAAGAAAGGAAACACATCCAACTTGGGAAAGAAGTAAAATCACCTGCACTCGACTCTAAGAACAACAGTAAGGTTAAATACTGACACTGGGGTTGATAACTTCTCAGATGACACCAAAAGCACAGACAACCAAAGAATTAAATAAACAAACTGAACTTCACTGAAAAATTAAAATTAAACTATTGTAAAACATGATCAAGACAATAAAAACGTAACCCACAGAAAGGCACAAAAGTCACAAATCCTAAAAGACTGATAATCAATTAACACCCAGAGTACAAGGTAACTTGGAGAAGTCTATGGAAAATGGAATTAAAAGATAAGTTGGTTTTAGTGCCAAAAAACTGGAAATCCATGTATAATTTTTTCATAATATGCATTTCCATGAGCTTTTGGAAGACCCCTCATATGTACGGATTTAAAAATGCTTTTCACCAAAATAAACACTGTTTAATCCTAGTATCCACAAACTCTTTGGAGTGCCCTCATATAAAGAACTCCTAGAACTCAACAATGAAATAAATCCGCAATGAGATGCCACTTCCTACCTATTAGAACAGCCATTATGAAAAATAAAGAGGAAAATACCAAGCACTGGCACAGATGTGAAAAGTCAGTGCCCTTGTGCACTGCTGGAGGAGTGTAAAATGGTGCAGCCACTGTGGAAAACAGTGCAGCTGGTCCTTAAGAGACGGAGCACAGAATTACCACACAGTCGAGGAATTCCACAGCTAGACCCCCACCCCCAGGAGCTGAGAGCAGGTACCCAGGAAGCATCTCACATCAGATTCCCAGCAACTAGAATATTCCTTGCTGGCCATCAACAGTCTAAT